TGTCCCCAGGGCCTGGAGAAACCCCAGCCTCACCTGCAGGGCCAAGAGGAGTAGCCTGACACTGAGCAGACTGGCTACTCTCAGAATGCTGATGGACAGTCCAGTAGCTGGAGGTTCCGTCGGCACCCCTCTAGACAGCGGCCATGGAGGTATGAACAGCAAGAGACATTGACTGTTCCTGTTGACGATCTTGTCATATAATAGAGACACTTTCTCCCCCTTGCATTTAAAACACAACACATTAGACCTTTAAATGTTTGCCAAGAACTGTGAGTTATATTGGAGTCTTGACTAATCGTTATAGAAATTTAGAATCTACTTAGAGCAGCAGTCTCCTCGTGCTATTACAGGTCTCCTCAGAGACAGAAACAAGGTCTACAGTTGTTGCTGTCGCTCACCTGAGCCATCTGGCTAGGAAGGCCCAGTGACCTCCCAAGCAGCTTTGTAATCGTTCAGTTAAAATGTGGTTTCCAGACTAAATGTGGGAAACAAGGTGTGTGCTGTGCTGTGCTGTGGGGCAGTTTGCTCAGCACATTTCTGCCCTCCTGGCAACCCTCTGGGGCCCCCATAAGCCATCCAGGGGCAGCTCTGCCTGCTGGCTGTGGGAAACCACCCTGGCACCAGGCCCTTTGGAGCCTTTCCTAGTTAGAAAGTTCACATGGCACCCGGAGGGATCTTTCTGAATGCAGATTTCCACTCTGGAGAAAATGATACCATAGCGTGTTTCCAGTGTACTGTGTAGTCTTTAGATTCTGTTTTGGATTCACCTGAGGGAAGAGATGGCTTACCTTTCAGAGTTCCTTCTTCTCCGCTGTAGTTTGTGGAAAGGTAAGAAGAAGCAATCACCTACTGTGTTGACCACTTTTAAATTTCTTTTGTTGTTTTGGTTAATAAAAATAATGTGCTCACTATGAAAATCTGTGAAGTGAAGAATAATAGGTTACTTGATAACTCTGTTAATGTGTTTTACTCTGCCTGTCATTTTTATACATTGTTGGCATTGTGCTCTATGCAGTTTAGTATCCTATTTTTGTCCATTAAAAAAAAACAACTCTCGGCCAAATAATTTTTTAAAAAATCCTCACCCAAGAATGTTTATTGGTTATAGAGAGAGAGGAAGGGAGAGAGAGAGAAACATCAGTTGGCTCCCCACCCTCTCCCCCACCAGCATGCACACTGACTGGGGATCGAACCTGCAACCTTTTGGTGTATGGGATGACTCTCCAACCAGCTGAGCCACCCGGCCAGGGCTCTTGGCTAAATAGTTTTAATTATCAGCATAATGTTTTATATTAAAATTTCATTGAATTAAAAAAAAATTAATCACCCAAGGATGTGTTTTTTTTTATTGATTTGAGAGAGAGAGAGAACATCGAGGTGAGAGAGAAACATCTATCAGTTGCCTCCCGTATGCACACTGACTAGGGATTGAACCCACAACCGTTTTCACGCACAGGACAACGCTCCAGCTAACACGGGGCAGCTTTTGTTGGATTTTTTTAAACAACATTCCTAATATCTTTTGCAGGACAGCTTTGTTAAAGTATAATTTACGTATAATAGAAGTCATCACTTTTAGATGTACAATTTGATGTCTTTTGACAACTCACTTAATAATGACTGTAATTGAGATACAGACCAGTTCTGTCATTCCAGGAGACTCTCTCATACTCCTTTGTAGTCAGTTTCTACCCCCACCCCTAGATCCTGGCAACCACTGATAAACTTTCTTATCACTTTATATGGTATTTTTTCAGGATATCATATAAGTGGAATCATACAGTAGGTAACATTTGAGTCTTTCATTTAGTATAATGAATTTGAGATTCATTTATATTGTATGTATTCATGGTTCATTCCACCTTAATTTTGCATTATGGACATATTGCTGTTTATTTATCCATTTTACCAGTTGGCATTTACATTGTTACCAGTTTTCAGCTACTAAGAATCAAGTTGCTATAAACATTTAGGTACAGGCTTTTGAAGGAACTAAATTTTCATTTCTTTTGGGTGAATACATAGGAGTGGAATTGCTGGGTCATGTGGCAAGTGTATTTTTACCTTCATAAGAAACTGGTGTACTGTTTTCCAAAGTAGCTGCACCATTTGCATTCCTACCAGCAGGGAAGGAGGGTTCCAGTAACTCTGTGCATTGACAAGTATTGGCATTGACATTTTTAGCAATTCTGATGGGTACGTTCTGGTGTCTCATTGTTGCTTTGATTTGACTTTCCCTAATGCCTAATTGATGTTAAGTATCTCTTTATGTGATTATTTGCCACCCACATCCCTCCTTTGGTGAAATGTCTACTCATTTCTTTTTCCCATTTTCTCCCACTGCATTGTTTGTTTTCTTCTTGAGTTTTCAGAGTTCTTTATATATTCTAGATACAAGCTCTTTTGGATGTTTTACAAAATATTCCAAACTTCTCTCTCTCTCTCTCTCTCTCTCTCTCTCTCTCTCTCTCTCTCTCTCAATACCTTCTGTGTACTTTACAGAGTTCTTTTATTTCCACATTTAAATTTTTTTTTCAGTTAAAGTTGACACAATATTATATTAGTTTCAGGTGTAGTCATTAGACATTTATATAACTTACAAAGTGATCATTCCAATAATTCTAATACCCAACTTTTCATTCTCTCAGTATTTTTCAAGTAGTAGAAATTTAATGGAACCCAATTTATCAATTTTTTTCTTGCATTATGCCTTTGGTGTCATATTTAAGAAATCTTTGTCTGACTGAAGATTACAAAGATTTTCTCCTGTTTTCTTCTAGTCATTTTATAGTTTCAGGTTTTACATTTAGGTGTATGATCCGTTGTGAGTTAATCTTTGTATGTGATGGAAGATATGGATTGGGGTCCATCATAGCCAGAGATAGATGTCCTTAAGTATCTATTTTAAAAAGGAAAAATGTGGCTGGGTTGGTGTGGCTCAGTGGATTGAGTGTGGGCTGCGAACCAAAGGGTCACTGGTTCAATTCCCAGTCAGGGCACATGCCTGGGTTTCGGGCCAGGTCCCCAGTGGGGGCCACGTGAGAGACAATCACACACTGATGTTTCTCTTCCTTTCCTTCTCTCTAAAAGTAAACAAACATGCTATCTTTTAAAAAAAAAATAAAAGGAAATAATGTTCCTGAATAATTTTTGCACTGTAGTAAAACAGGGCTGTGAAAATGAGTTCACTGGGAACCATTGTTTCTTAATCCACTAGCTCTGAGACAGATGCTTGGACAGTCTTCAGTGTTCCCTTTGTGGAAAGTGCTAGAAAGAACACTGGCAGTGACCTCCAGCTCCCCTCTTGTCTGGGTGTCCTGTAGAGGGTTCCTGAAGTTCTGGTTCCTCTATGAGTATTCTTGCTCAGCAGCTGCATATTATAGGCAGTGAAAATTGGCATTTCTTTGAGTGCAGGTTGTAGGCTTCCTGTGGAACAACCATGTTCAATGTTAGGCCACCTTATTGATAAGGAGAAGGGACCTAATGTGCATGAAAAACTTGCCCTGTACCAGTGACTTTGCTGTATCTCAAAAGTCCCATGTGGCATAAAGCAGTAGCCAGTCCACCTTACAGACGAGGCTATGAGAGTTGTTCAGAGGCACCCTGCTAACAAAATAGCCATGCCAGATGCGCCCAGCTCCAAAGCTTTTTCTGTTACTTCTCCCTTGCCCTTCACGGAGTCACTTCCTGTGTTTATGGTGGCGTGCCATATATTCCCCTCCAACTAACACACATTCCCCTCAGTCTAACCTGAGGTGTGGTTATAAGTATGGCAGTGCGGTTGCTTTCAGCCATTTATCTTTTTTTCCCCTCTTGGCTACTTTATTTTAGTTCCCCATATTTGGCTTTGTGGCCTTTACCTTTAGTGGCTGCTATTTCTTTGATATGTGAATTATAAAAATGCTCTTATCAACTTTATTTTCCTCCCTTCCAACAGGTACTGCTTGAATGTGTGAGCGAGAAGGTCAGGCTAGTTATTCTTATCATGGACCATCTGCTATTTTTAGTGGTTCTGGGGAGGGGAGTGTTTGTGCTTTGTTTTGCTTTTCAGTCTTTATTCCTTTTATTACTGTATCGTGTGACTCTCTTTCACATGGCCCATCTCCATCTTCCCTTCCCAGGAGAAGTCTTGTAGTCTTTATTGAGGTCCCAAGACTTGCATGGTCAGCAGTGGTGAAATCTGCAAAGTGCCCCTCGCCCAGTCTGCTCATCCTGTGTCTCTGGATTTTATTTCAATAAGTGATCAGAAATGGGACTTCTCATTTTAGCTGAAATTCCCGTGTTATTTTAGGTGTTTAGATCCTGTTACCTTCAGTCATTCCTGTCACTGACAGGAGTCAATCTTGCCTGAGCAGTTTCTTTCTTTGGGGACACTGAATCGCATCTCTTTTTAAGAGTTACTCTTCATTCTAGGCATCATCAAAGACCTCATTCCTTTTGAAATCTTGGAGTGTTAGCAGCTGGGGTTGGCTCTGCCCATTTTTCCTGCCAACTCTTCAGTTACAGCTTAAATAAGGCATGACACCAGCAGTGCTAGAGTGCCTAGTCTGCTGCAGTTTCCATTATGAACACACCTTTTCCTGACTCAGTTCCTCTTCACTCAGCTCTGCACATTGGTGCTCATGTAGCCTCACTGAACTGCTTGCATCTGTGAAATGTGGATATTTACACCATTGTATGGGACCTTTCTGAAGAGCAGGTGCCCAGCAAAGAATTTGGTGTGTGTGTGCCACAGGGAGATGTGGTAAGCGTCTGCACGCATGTTAACTCCAGTAAAATAAACAGAGGCAGCCCAGGCGGGAGGGAGGCACTTCATCAGTCCTACCTGTGATGTGTCTCTGGTGCACTCTGTTTGCTGGACACTGCGCTCCATGGACAAGACCTGTCTGTGGACTTTTTCCTGTTACAGCTGTGCAGCTGCCCTGGCCCTGTGCTGGCCGTCCGTTCCCCTCCAGGTGCTGCTCTCTCCTTGCTCATCTCGTTTTGTCCTTTCCCACTAGGAAGCATCTCGGACAGCTCTGCCAAGCTCTTCGAAGTTCCTGACACGTGGTAACCGAGACCTGAATGAAACACGTCGTGGGTGCTGTTGCTGAGAAAGACCCCAGCCGGCACGTTTGGAAGCCATACTGTATTTAATGTGTTTTATGGGAGGGGTTTGAAAACAAGCGTGTCTCCTGAAAAAAACTTAGCTTTTATTTTTGCAGCTGTGGTTTTCTTCTTTCCTTTTTAATGTAAACTGTCTGCTGACACTCAGCATAATTATAAAAGCTGTTGTGAAGGTGTACATGATTAACCAGTTATTTTTTGCTCATGTGAACCCTTCCTGTCATGAATTAGTGTGTTTAGGAATCCACCTGATTTTGGGGCGGGGGTGGGTGGTTTGGCTGTGAAATATGCAAAAAGAGCTGACATTCTTGGATGCTGTGATCATGAGTTCAAGGCTTGAACGCCTTCCTGCTTCAAGAGGTTTCATCTCCTCATGCTCAGATTCTGGGGCAGCCGCAGCACGTGGTTACCATCTCCTAGTGGAGAAATCGGTTATGTCTCTCTGCTTCCCACCTTAGCTGCCTGAAAATATGAAGCTTTTAAGCTTATTTTTCCAGTAGGAAAATCTCTACCGATAAAGGAGCTTACCATATGCCTTGGCCTTGGGGAATATTTATTTAGAGTTATTTTTCCTAAGATGTGAGTTTCTTGCTCCAGGACAAGTAAAAACGTTAATTTCTGTTTTTACATGTACACTGTGGTCACCTGTCAGTGTGTTAGTGTGTGGTCTCTGTGTGGCTGTCTGGGAGCAAGGTGGCCTGTGTACGTGTGTGCGTGCATGTGTGAAGTCATGATCTAAAGCTACATGTGCCAGCCCTTTGTTTAAGCATATCACAACAGCGACAGAATTTCGTGGATCTACTTCAGTAGAGTTGTGTCATATACATCATTGTTAGAGATACTACATTTTTGTATCATGGAAATAAAAATGTAAAATGTATTTCCAGAAGGTGAAAATTAAAGACATTTTCATAGAATTCTGATTTTTTTCCCCTTTTTTTTTAATAAGTGAATGACATACTCAGCCTCTACATAGGTATCATTTCTCTAAAGATCGCCTCTGAAAAGCTCTGTAAGTTACCAGACCTTGTTTTTCCTGCCTCAGTGAGTCGCATCCCAGTGCAAGAGTTGAGCCCTGTGGTAAAGGCTTCATGGGAGGGTCTGCATCTTTTCTGTGGTGGGAAGAATCTGAGCTCTCACAGACCTCCAGAGAGTCTGTTTCAGCTCCAGCTTCAGTTTTCTCAATCCTAAAATTAGGATAATAAACCTACCTTACACGGTGGCTGTGAGAATTAAATGATATTATGTTAAATGCCTGGTACCCACAGTGCACAATAAATTGTAATAATGTTGGAAGATTACACTTTCGATCTGGAACCCGTGTGGTGTCTGCCGACATAGGCATGGTCACGTGGGATTTGACAGAATTAAATACCCAGTGAAGCCCTCTTGCACATCCTGGCCTCTGCTTTACCAACTGTAGCAAATGACTTAAACAGGTGCTCCTTCTCCCCCTCCATGCATACCTGTTAGGCTTTCTTAGTGTCTCTTTTGGGCATAAAGCCTAGGATGGTACTTTGGCTTTTTGATAGGCCCAGGGGCATTTTATCATGATGGGGCTGTGGTTCAGGGGTTTCTGGAAGACGGTGGCTGAATCTGGAGGCAGGCCTGCGTGTAGGGCCCTTGATGTTTTCTGGAAGAGTTTTGTAGGGTTTTTGTTTGTTTTTTTTGTCTTTTGGATCTGGGGTGGAGACTGAGCACTGTAGTTCTGCCCATTTTCATAGCTCTGTATTTGTCTGGTTCCCCCCAGCTTATCTTTCTAAGATTTATTCATCTTTAGAGAGGGGAAGAGAAGGAGAGAAACATCAGTGTGTGGCTGCCTCTCGTGCGCCCCCCACTGGGGACCAGGCCCACAACCCAGGCATGTGCCCTGACTGGGAATCAGACCCTCGACCCCTTGGTTCACAGGCCGGCGCTCAATCCACTGAGCCGCACCAGTCAGGGCTCGCCCCAACATTTTATGATGAAAATTTTCAAGCATATGGAGAAGTTGAAAGAATCATTCAGTGAACACTCACTCACTTGCCACCTAGATTGTACAGTTGTCATGTTGCTGTTTTTGTTCCATTATATAACCATTTGGCCATCCTATACATCCATCAGTTCATTTCTAAGTTGCAAACATCAGTGCACTCTCCTTCCCAAATACTTTTGCATGTTTGTCATCAGTCAGAGTTTAGTATTTGTTTATATTTGGAGGTCAGTGGGAATAAAATTTATAGTGAAATGCTCAAATCTCATACTATTAACCTTCAAAATTAAACAACAAAGGTTATCCACAGCAAATGAATTTATTAAAAAATGGGAGAGGAATTTCAATTTGGTACAAGCAAATTATGGTGAACCACAGGCAAGTGTGGAGAACAAAGGAGAAGAACATTCTTTTATAAAGGAAAGGAGGGGCTTGGGAGGGGTTGTTTTGAACAGAGTTTATTGGAGGAGAATGAGATGGAAGTGGTGAGGGCTCATCATTGGCTGCAGGCAAGGGCAGCTTGCTGTGTCCGGTTAGAGAGGACTTTTCCTTATGTGATGAGTGGTAGTGGTGAGAGCTCTCCCTTCACAGCTTTCCGACTGCATTTTGATGAGGCTTCCTTTGTCCATTTTCACCCTGCCAAGACACAACATTACCATCACCCCAGAATTCTCCCCAATGCTTCTTCCCAGTCAACTCCCACCCCCAGAGGCAGCCACCAGTCTGCTTTTTTCATTTTTATCACAAATTAGTTTGACCTTTTTCTAGGAGTTCATGAAAATAGAGTCACTCTCTGGTGTGAGGCCTCCTTCACTCAGCATGTTTTGAGATTCAGCCATGTCTGCACACATCAGTAGTCCCGTACTTCATGTTGCAGCGTGTGCACCCACCGTGGTTTATTCGTCCTCCAGTGGATGGACACTGGGGCTCTTCCCAGGTTGGGACTATGCAGCTATTATGAATAAAGCTGCTATGAACATTCTAGTGCAAGTCTTTTGAGAGCAAAAGCTTTCATTTTGGAGGGTAACTACCAAGGAGTAGAATTGCTGGATGGCAAGAAACTTCCAGATCTTGTCCTGAAGTGGTTGTATCATTTTATACTCTCATCCACACTGTGAGAGTTCCCGTAGCCCCTGCCCTCAGCAGCATTTGGGGTCGTTGGCCATCTTGGTGGGTGTGTAGTATATCTCATTGCAGTTCTCATTGCAGTCACTTCCCTGGTGACTAATGATGTACTTGCTAGCCAATGTATATAGTCCTCTGCGAAGTACCTGTTCAGTTCACTTGTCTGTATTTTTTTTTTTATTGGTTTACGTCTCTGTTATTGAGGTATAGGTGGTCACTATATATTCTGGATATCAGTCCTTTGTCAAAGTTGTTTTGAAGTTTTTTAGTTCCAGTCTATGACAGGCTTGTTGTTTTTTCTTTCTTTCTTTTTTATACCAGCCTTACTGAGATAGAATGGACATGTAACATCGTGTGAGTTTAGGGTGGACAATGTGATGACTTGACACACCCATACGTTGCCCAAGGACCCCCACCACAGCACTAGCCAGCACCATCATCACATCGCTTGTCACCATTTCTCTTTTGCGGTGAGAATACTCATGACCCACTCCCCCAGCAACTTGTTTTCTTAACAGTGTCTTCTACCGGGCAGAAGTTTTCATTTTAATGAAGCCTGTGATGTCAGTTTTTTCTTTCTATGTCCTTTCTAAGAAACCCCCAAGTCGTAAAGATACTCTTTCATGTTTCTTCCAGAAACTTTATAGTTCTAGCGTTTAAGTCTGTCTAAGTTAATCTTCAGTTACTTGTTTGTGTGTGGTGTGAGAACAGGAGTTGAGGTCCCTTCATTCCATGTGACTGTGCAGTTATTCCAACAGCATTCGTGGAGAAGACCTTTCCTGTTGGATTGCTTTGGTGCCTGGTGCAAAAATCTGTTGACCCAATAACAAGTGTGGGTCTAGAGTGTGTGTGTGTGTTTGTAAAATGTGGTGTTTTGCCCTGGCAGGTGTGGCTCCAAGTTGGAGCATCATCCCGTAACCAAAAAGTTGCAGATTCAGTTCTTAGCCAGGGCACATACCTAGGTTGTGGATTCAATTCCCAGTCCAGGTACATAAGATTCCTGGTCTGGGTATGTACTGGAGGCAACAAATCTGTGTTTCTCTCTCACATCAATGTTTCTTTCTCTCCCTTCCTCCCTCCCTCACTAAAAACAATGAAAAAAATGTTCTTGGGTGAAGATAAAAAAAATTAAATTGTGCTGTTATTATTGCCGAAGAGCCGCACAGAGAGGGTGTCATGATTTCTCCATGTGCAGTTCCCACTGGGCCGATGTCGCAGCCCTTCTCATCACCTGGGGAGGAAAGTGCTGTGACCCTTGGTTGCTGCTGAGGCCAGGTTACTCTCTCCTGACCTGGGAAGCTAATGAGCATTAAAAATAGTGCAATCTTTTGGGATCCTCTTTTTTTTTTTTTTAATCTCATGACAAGCTTCATAACTTCGGTTGAAATCTTTTATTCCCCAAATGATTCATGGAGTAAATCCGTGCACCTGGTTTTGTCAAGGAGGGGAAATAGAATACCTGAAGGCCAGTTTGTGTTTCTCCTGGTTGTCAGCCACCCTCTCCCCTAAGTTGTCCAGTCCCTGCTTAGAGCAGTTTGGTTTGTCTTTAGCCACTTGCCACTTCTGTCTCGGCCTCCTGCTTTTTTTAGCCATGCCGTGAACCTGAACTTGAGCAAGATTTTGGTGTGCTGGGCCTGGTGAAAATGTCACCAGCTGAAGAGATCTTTTAAAACTGAGGTGTTTGAGACAAGATAATCCCATCAGAAAAGGAAAGACAACAAAAAAGAGCCCTCTTATTGGGGTGGGGGGACTTAATATTTCATATGAGAAGAAATTGAATTGTCATAGCCATTTTTTTAGGGAAATATTAAAGCAGAGAACTCGAAGCGAAAGAAGCTGCCGGGGTGTGCAGATTGCACACCTGCGCAGACCCACACCTGGCTCGTGCTGCTGGTCCACGGAAACATCTTGCCGTGTGGCCGAGACCAGCGGGAGGACCGGTGGCCAGACTTTTTGACACTTGCCTCCTCTAGCACAAGGACAAGTGGGGAACAGCACCCCTCAATCCAGCTGCTCTCACAGGTGCTCTCGGAACCTGGGTGGTAGAATCTTAGACTCAAAGCCATTGCCTCCCATGTTCCAGTTGGTGACGAGGAGCATAAATGCCTTTCACATCTCCCCTCTGTGCACTGCAGTCCAGTAGACCCGCAGTCTTATTTTCAATACCCAGAATCTGGGAGTTCAGAGGTCTTTGTTTTACCCACACATTGTCCTTCCTTTGTTGAACGGGCTAAAAATTAAGTGCCATCTCAGAATGCTGTTCTATAAGTTACCTTGACAAATGACTGTGACTCAGAAGCTTAGGCTTTTGCCTACTTTTGGAGCCTGAACCTAAGCATGTGTGGGGGAGGGAATGGAGGGTCCTTTGGGTGTTTTGTCTTTACGATGCCCGTAATTCTCCATTGCCCTGACTTCATCTTCCGCAGGGTGTGTGCGAATCGGCAAGCACTTAGCGTCCTGTCCTGATGGATGGTGTGATAGGAGCCCCCCCCTTACGGAGCCTCAGAGCCCTCATTGTCTCCCTTTTCCATTCGCTCATTTCCACTTAGACTCCTGAAAGAGTTTCCATTAATCAGAGGAGTTGAGGAAACCACACTGTAGAGGCAGCATGCTGCGGTGCACAGCTCCTGGACTCGGTGATTGCCCAGGCCTGAGCTCAGCTGTCAGCTGTGCGATCCAAGGACACTCGCTCAGTTTCAGTTTCCTGGGCTGTCAGAGGAGAGCACTGCCACCCTCCTCTCGGGGTCACTGTGAGCGGCTGAGCCCCAGAGGGAGCGGGAAGCACCACGGGGAGTGAGCGCTCATGGAGGTCCTCCCCAG